AATGCACGAATTTCAATCTTACTTCTATTGATACATACATAGTATCGAAGATATTAACAAAAGCTGCCATTAAGTGAGTTCGTCATTAATGTGCACTTATTATTAGCTGAATACAAAGACGTGAAATTCGCTCAATGCCGGAGTACTTCGAGTATGAGTATTCGCCTTATTTGCACATCTCTGCACAGATGCACGAAGATACTGGTAAATACGTAATGGGAATAATGATAGATGTCGTTCTTCGATGTAATTGCTGGCCAAGTGCGGCGAAGCACTCGAGATTGGAGCGCCAAAGCCCGCGGTTGCAGCGCATCTTAACCCAAAAATGAGGCGACATCTGATAAACACAAGCCCACATTACTATATTGTATTGGCAAATGCCAGTGCTTTGTTTTTGCCCTAATAGGAGCAGTATGAGTGTCTAGTTGGCATGGCCATTACCATTACCAATGGCATTGCCATTACCATTACCACTACCATTACCTTTGTCATGGCCAAAGGGAGTGGGAGTGGGAGTGGGACTGGGACTGGGATCGAGTCTTATCTGCACGCAGATAATGGAGCTTCCTCGCCTTGTCAAGGCCACAGAGACTTTCTTCAATGGCGGGCCTGAGATCTTTTGGGTAAGGTGAGTGCCAGGGCACCGCCGAATTCATTATGTGATGCCATCATCGACGGGCACTTCAGCCGCCGTGGGGCATCCACAACGAGCCCACGAACCGCGCACTTGAGGCCATCCGCATCCATCGAATATAGTATATTTGTACAAAAAACGGCGTGTTTGCATTGCGGCAATGATTTCTAACTAAATTTATTGAAGTACTTTTCACTTTTAATGCGAGCCCTTGTGTTTCTCTTCGCCACGCTTTGATATTTATGACTTTTACTTGAAAATATATGTGAGCCCCAATTTTTGTACGCACACTTGTATTTTGTTAAGCCCCAAATTGGAGCACTAGCACTCCGGGCTCCAAGTTTTTCACCTCTTCGCATTTTGAATGACTTCGGAGCGCGCACAATGCGAGTTGATTGATTGTGGTAGCAGCACAGCGGCAACAGCTTTGATTGCCAATCGAAGGTGTTAGATAACATTACAAGCGCAACAGACACGCATCGCCTAATTATCGTTTATCAGACGAATCTCATATTCCGGGCACGGCCCAGGGCCCTGGGAACCCATCCCAACCCATCCCAAATGTGTGTGTATCTCCGCCGTGGTTAATTAAAAGTTCTGCCTCATCGGTCTTCGGCCTGGGGTTCAGAAGGTTCAGCAGGTTCAGGTGGAGGCTCAAGTTCAGGTCCAAGGCAAGTCGTTACAGTGATAACTGGGCAGCCGCAACCAGCAGTTGCCAGGTTATACAAGTTATACAATATGCTTAGGTTAAGGTGACTTGTGGTTTTAGATTCCGCGGTTGTCATGGGATTTTTGTTTAATTGGTGCTGAGTACGAGGTACTGCAATCAGTTGTGATCACATTTTGGGTGATCAAATATTTCAAAAGTATATGAGGGACCGAAAAAAATGCAATTAAATCGGTGGTTTCGTGCTTGGAATTCAAATACTGCAAAAGTAACGCAGGGTACATAATTCCAAATAATCATTGGACACATGTTAAAACAAATCCTCTTAAGTTTGTACTTTTGACTAATGAATTCTTCGAATTAGCGGCCCACTTTCAAAATTAAATAGTTCCTTAGGAAGAAACTAGGAGCGTAATTCAGTTGAGCAAACATAGAGTGGTTTTACTGTGCATAGGTAGCACACATAATTAATTAATTGGCACCACCACTGATCCAACCACCCGGCCGTAAATCCAATCGAATCCAATCAAAGCTTGGCGGCAGAAAAGAAACATAAATGGCTTAGAAGTTCAGCAACAGTACGAGAGTTGGCTGTTTATTTGGTGTAGGGCTCAATCCACTTCCACTGCTCCCAGACAACGCAGGTCTGATCCGGCTCCATGAAGGCGTAGTTGTCCGGGCACTGGATGTAGTCGGCCTTCTCCTGACCCTCGGGGCACACCCAGTAGTGAGTGGGGTCCGAGATGTCGCGGAACTTGCGAGCGTGATCCTCGACGATGGCGCAGTTGGGCTCGGCGTAGATGTCCTGGCCATTGTAGGCGGAGCTGAGGGCCAGGAAGAGGCCCAAGAGCAGGCAGCAAATGATGGAGACTGCAGGAGAAAATTGAAAATTGGGAAAGATGAATGGAAAATTCCCTGGAAGATCCAAGGCGATGTGTCTCACCCTTGTACATGATGAAAGTGTTGCAATTGAAGACCGTCAATTGGCATATTTATACTAGTGCCGAATTTTCCTTATCGCAGCGACACTTGCTGCACAAGCAAAATCACTTAGTCCAAATAATTTTAAATTTATTTTTAGCTCCCTGCTGCGGATGTCGCCCCGTTTGTTTGGGCAATGGCAATCATAACGAGTCGCATTTCACTTGGCCGCATTAATTGGATTTGGCCCAAAGACCGAGCGTGTCGACTTAATCGATAATTAGCCGCTGCACTGCGTTGCCACCATCACATCTTGGCCAACCTGAAATAATCAGTTAGCTTAACACATGCGCTGCGATATGGCAGCGTCATCTTGTCCCTTAACCATACAACCATACCATATTAAAAAGAAATAGTCACCCGCTGGGGAGTTGCGTCGCTGATTGGCCACCTCCTTCTGCTGCCATCTCCCCAGGTTGGCCATAATCTCAATGCGGAAACTGTAATTACACTTTGAAACATTTTGTAAGCGATTTTCAGGGTTTTTGTCTTCGACCCACTCTTGCTGCTAAACGGTTTTTAGTCGGCGCATTTCGTGAGGTTTTTTGCCATATTTTGTTTCAGCTGCTGCTGCCTCTTTGCTATTTACGGGTATATTGGTCAAGTGGCCTGGCGCCCGAGTCGCTTGGGGCGTTTGAAGCGCCGAAACCGCAGCCAAACAAAGCCCAAAGAGACAAACAGTTAACATAAATGCAAAATACCTTTGCAAAACGACAAAACAAAAATAAACATCATAATAAAAAAGGCATCGGAAAGACAGTCGGCAATTAATTAATGGGGGGCCGATAGTCTTTAATGTTGCAAACTTTAAACGGATTCAGATTTCAGCATTTGTTTAACGCATTATGGAAATATCCGATTGTGGATTCGCCACGCCAGCTGGGTTCACACTTCACCCAGCTGTCAATAAATAGTCATGGCTATTATGCTGGATGACTGTTGACTGGATAAATGCTGAGTTGTTTGTGGGCTTGTTAATTGGGTGCTGAACGTTTGTTGTTGGTTCTAAAACCCAGTGAATCAAATCAATCTCAAGGAGAGATCAAACCAATCAAAACGTTTGCTTTGCGAAAAGAGATAAATATTTATGCATATATATTAGTTTCTCCCTAATAAATGGCTTGAATTTAAAGTGAAATAAAGTGGCCGGCAATGGATAGCCCATACATAAATCAAACTATATTGCTTAACTTATAACTATGATGAAATGTATGGGCTGGGTGCGAATTGAATACAGTATATTTGGCACTACAAGAAGAATCCATTAAAAATGCACTTGGCTATCTTCCTCCTTCCTGATGCTGCATTAAATAATGCTTCAATTTATTTGCTATCTGTCGACTCTCCCCTCCCCTGAAGCCCAAAAAATTTCTACCATCTCGATAAGGATGCTGTTTTCAGCTACTTTTCGCTCTGCTCCCTTGATAATAATCGACGAACGCGTGTGTCAAGTTGTCAATACTTTTATTATTCTTGTTTTCACTTGGTTATTTTTTTGGCACATCTCCCCGTCGAACGTATAAAAGTTCCATTCTCGAAACATGAGGGTCTCAGTTGGTGCCTTCTATCGAGAAACTTTCAAAGCTAAAAATGAAGTCTGGTGGGTGTGAGGTTGAATCTTAATGTTATTTCGCATCGTTAACCTATTGATTCGTTTGCTTTCATCAGTTGTTGCCCTGTTTGCCGCCGTTCTGGCCATCATTTTGGTGGCGGGCGTGAGCGCGGATGCAGGTCGCTCCGCCTGCAAGGACGAGTCCGAGATTGGCCAGACCTTCACGCACCACTTCGATGCCGCCAAGTACTGGCTGTGCGAGACCCTCGGCACTCCGGCCACCGAGGTGGACTGCCCCTCCGGACTGGCCTACATGCACCTGCTCAAGGAGTGCATCCCATGGGCCAGCTACATCTGGAAGAAGCCCGAGATGCCGCCGACTGTGGCCTAAAATAAATGACCCGGCTCTTTAATGTTCACAACTGCAACTTTGTTTGGTTATTGATTGGTTGGGCCAGTGGTAATTGTTCCAACTATTCCTACATAATTCGAAAACATTTCACTTGAGGGATCAACATTGGCATTGCCTCATTGTATTACTTTACAAAGTTGATTGCCACTGCATTGGTAACAAGTTGTAAATCACTCATATGCAATGTGCCTTTGAGTTCTCAACCACAAATGGCTGAAAATGCGCTACATGTTTGGGAAATTAACCCTTTTTTCCAGCCTTAAAAGGCAAAACAAATTGCAGGGGTGTGCATAAACCACTTTAATAGACCAATTTAGCCAGACGCAGCCGATGACAGATGTTGCCACTGAACTTGGCATCGGATCGAGTGGATTTATCAGGCAAAAACAAAGCAAGTGCCGAAAGCTTCACGATCGCAGTAGCTGCTTGTTGCTGCCGCTGCCTTTGTTATTTTGTTGTATGTTTTCTGTGGCAGATGCGCAGCTTTTGCCGCTTTTGCCGCTTTGCTTGTTTTGGCCGCTTTGGCTGCTTGGGCTGCTTGATGGTGGTTTCTGTGGTGGCTGGTGGCTGGTGGCTGGTGGCTCCGGCGGAGAGTGAGTGCATTTGAAGTGTTACATAAAGTACCAAACTCGAACTCGAAGACATGCCGCTGCCAGCGTCTTCTTCTCATTGTGTTTTGGCTTGGAGCTTTTGATTTTGGTCTGTCCGCGTTGTTGTTGCTTTTTCTGCTGTATTTTTGCGGCTTTGCCTGGTTATGATTTTGTATAAAAGTGCATGCTGCGCCTCAACCAGCAGTGTAGTTCGCATTCGTCCATCGGCAGAGCATCGTCTGCAAAGTGCCCCCAAAATCTCAAAGAAGCAGCTGGTGCCCACGAAAACGGTCAGTGCATAAAGGATAACTTACTTAAAAGTACACATATACATCACACGTCATCGTCATCATAAATCATCGTTACTAAGTGACAAAGTCTTTAGACAGGATGATTACAATTTGCAAAGAAGCAAGGATAGTTTATTATCAGCTACTGTGAAAAACAAGTTTCAAGTTCTATTTTATTTATCACCATTCATTTAAAGTACAGTGCTTTGCCAGAACAAACTATAAAATTATTATAAAATATTCATTGTCAACTCAGGACTATCTTATAAGTATTTCGGAAATAGTCAGGTACAATGAAACATTTTTTCAAAATACTCTTACTCATTACATAACAAAGTGTAGACAATATTTTATCATGAAATATTTTAGTTTTTATTGAAAAATTAAAAAAAAAGTGTTTTACATTCGTTACTAATTTCCCCAAACTAAAGTTCAGAAAACCCAAGTTGCTGTCAAAATATACTGGACCAAAAATAGTCTAAAGAACTAGTCTAAGTCACCCTCGAAAATTGCATAACCAGCATGGCCAATAAGGAGTTGCCTCACATTCAGCAGGTCATTCAGTCACTTAGTCAGAGTTAGAAAAATAATTAAGTTTGTCGCAATCGCTAAAAAACCAAACAAGCGTCGCGGGCCAAACAATAAAGCGAATTGCTGAAAAACCAACAATTGGACGCAACGGGACAGGGCCAGGCGCCTCCGAATGTGGCCAAAACGCGGAGACAGTAATTGGCAGCAGTAGCTGGAGTAGCTGGAGAGGCAAATATGTGTCACTCCGCATGCAACAAGCCACATGCCACATGCCTCATGCCACATGCCTCATGCCGTGGGGGTGCATGGCAATGGCGCTGAGAAATTGCCAACTGCCGCTGCTGGTTTTGCAATGTCATAAAAGCCAGCATTATGCCACAGCCGATCACGCCCACAATCGGTTTATAGTCCCTTTTTATATTCAATTTCCCCCAAGAAAAGCGCCGAAAAAGTACAAGAGAGTTTCACTCAGCTTCGGATGTGGTTCGCCAGCGATTTCAGTGGCTTTTGTTTGCATCCGCGATTTGCCGAAAACGGCAACCCAAGTGGCAGCTCACCAGGGGCTCCACTTTCAATGCCGGGCGACACGCTCCGCCTGCTGGCCAGTTCTTGGCATTGGCCGACCCGACGGACCGAGCCAAGATTGACGAGCGATTAGGTCCGCTCCGTGGGTTAAGTCTCGGTCATCTCGGTCATCTCGGTCATCTTGCTCATCTTGGTCATCTTGCTCATCTCGGTCGCCTTGGTGGCTGTTAAAACTTATGCAACATTAACGTAATCTTTCTATAACTATTTTTTGCAAGTAATCCACTTTCAACTGATTTTCTCTAATGCCCCCTCTCCCGCCTTGCAGTTCGGTTAATTTGCATTCGAAGCTCATCACACCGAGCTCATCCTCCGGAGAAGCAGCAGTCATGCGTGTGGTAAGTGCACTAAAACTAAAATGAACCCATTAAGATATAGTAAATATACTCGCTTTGCTTTATTTTCATATAGTATTGGAAGTACTACTAGATTTTTTAATCATATACCTATTTAGCCCAATTGCTATTTCTTAGAAAATATATCATCTTTTAGTAGAATTAGAACGAACAACTTTTAAATACTATTCAAACTCAACACAGTTTAATTTATCTGAACCAATTAGGCAGTTATTGGAAAAAATATTAATAATATTATTAATATATAATATATGAATATTAATGAATAATGAATATTATATGAATATTATAAACTTCATATTAATAATTGATTTACACCTCTTTTGGTGTGAAAATGCCTTTAATTACAACGTTTATTATTCATTAGTGTATTAATCATTAATCACTTAGTGTCTCTTCGTAGAGATCCTAAAGTTGAAAGCTATTTTAAACATGTGCAACTCGCATAGACTTTTCTCAGAGTGCACAGCTGAAGAAATCGCTCTAATGTGGATCATTGATCGGTGCGTCATAAAAAGCTAATTTACTAATTTCCTCGTTTTCGCAGCAGCTTTTCGGTGTCATCGCCGTGGCCGTCGTGGCCGTTTCGCTGGTGCACGATGTCGGAGCGGAGCCACCAGTGAACAACGCCTACTTGCCGCCCAGTTCGCCCCAGCGTCCCTCCTCCAAGTATGGTGCTCCGCCCGCCAGCTCTTACCTGCCACCCGCCTCCGGACCGTCGCCATCGTTCAACACCGCTCCGTCTAGCAGCTATGCGGCTCCACCCCAAAGTGCTTCATCGGGTGGCCCATATCCGGCTCCGGCTGCACGCCCCTCCAGTTCCTATGGACCACCAGCCTCCCGTCCCTCGTCCAGCTATGGACCACCGCAGGGTCGGCCTAGCCAGTCGTACGGACCACCGCCACAGGCCAAGAAGCCCCATCATCGTCGCCCATCCTCCAGCTATGGAGCCCCGAGACCCGCTCCGCCTTCGCAGAGCTATGGTGCCCCGCCCTCTTCTAGCTATGGGCCCCCGAAGTCCGCGCCCCCTTCCCAGAGTTATGGTGCACCAGCTCCACCCTCCAGCAAGTACGGCCCGCCCAAGTCCGCACCTTCTTCCAGCTATGGAGCCCCGAGGCCCGCTGCCCCTTCATCCTCATACGGCGCCCCCGCCCCACCATCTTCGTCTTATGGAGCACCTGCCGCACCATCATCGTCCTATGGAGCTCCCGCTCCACCGTCCAAATCTTACGGAGCACCTGCTCCTCCATCTTCTTCGTACGGAGCACCAGCGGCACCTGCCCCACCATCTTCATCATACGGAGCACCTGCAGCACCATCCTCATCTTATGGAGCCCCCGCACCGCCATCCAAATCTTATGGAGCCCCTGCTCCTCCATCTTCTTCGTATGGAGCGCCTGCTGCTCCTTCCAAGTCTTATGGAGCACCTGCCCCACCATCTTCCTCCTACGGAGCACCTGCACCACCATCCTCATCTTATGGAGCCCCCGCACCGCCATCAAAATCTTATGGAGCCCCTGCTCCTCCATCTTCTTCGTATGGAGCGCCTGCTGCTCCTTCCAAGTCTTATGGAGCACCTGCCCCACCGTCTTCCTCCTACGGAGCACCTGCACCACCATCTTCCTCCTACGGAGCACCTGCACCACCATCTTCCTCCTATGGAGCACCTTCTGCGCCCTCCTCCTCTTACGGACCTCCCAAGTCAGCACCCGCACCACCTTCATCGAGCTATGGAGCACCGCCTCAGGCGCCTGTCAGCTCCTACCTGCCACCAGTTTCGCGTCCATCGAAGCCCTCTTCCAGCTACGGAGCACCCAGTGTGAGCAGCTTTGTGCCCTTGCCCTCGGCGCCATTGACCAACTACGGAGCACCATCAAAGACCCAGAGCCTGGGAAGCAGTGGCTACTCATCCGGACCTTCTTCCTCTTATGAAGCACCAGTGGCACCCCCATCGTCCTCATACGGAGCTCCAACCGCTTCGTTCCAGCCCATCTCGCCACCATCGTCCAGCTACGGCGCTCCCAGCAGTGGATCAGGCTCAAGCAGCGCAAGCTTCTCGACCGCTCCCTCATTCTCGTTCAGCGCCCCAAGCAAGGGTTCCAGTCATGGATCATTCCAATCCGCTCCGTCCAGCTCGTACGCTGCTCCCAGTGCCAGTGCTAACAGCGGTGGATCGTACCCCTCGGCTCCTTCCTCATCCTACTCTGCCCCCAGTTCGAGCTCCAGCAGTGGAGGCCCTTATGCCTCGGCTCCGTCTTCGTCCTACTCGGCACCCAGCTCTGGATCCAACAGTGGCGGACCTTACGCAGCTGCTCCATCGTCCTCGTACTCCGCTCCCAGTGCCTCTGCCAACAGTGGTGGATCTTATCCTTCGGCTCCATCCTCGTCTTACGCGGCACCTAGCCCAGGATCAAACAGCGGTGGCCCCTATGCTGCAGCTCCTTCATCCTCGTATTCGGCACCAAGTCCTTCAGCCAACAGTGGAGGACCCTATTCTTCGGCTCCCTCCTCTTCGTACTCCGCACCCAGCTCTAGCTCCAGCTCGGGTGGACCATATGCCGCTGCTCCCTCATCTTCGTACTCCGCTCCCAGTTCCAGCTCGAGCAGTGGAGGACCCTACCCATCAGCTCCCTCTTCGTCTTACTCCGCACCCAGTCCGAGCTCCAACAGCGGAGGACCTTACCCGTCTGCTCCATCCAACTCGTACTCGGCCCCGATCGCTGCCCCATCTGCCTCGTACGGAGCACCTGCCGCAGGAGCATCGCCCTCGTTCAGCGCACCCTCCTCTTCCTATGGAGCTCCCTCCACTGGACTGGGCGCCAGCTCATTCTCGTCCTCATCATCGTCCTTCAGCGGATCCTCGTCGAGCAGCAGTGGTGGCTATCCCTCGGCACCGTCCAGCTCCTATGGAGCTCCGTCCGCCGGCTCCGGCCTGAACTTCTCCAGCGCACCCTCGTCCAGCTACAGTGCTGCTCCCTCCAGTGGATCCTCCAGCTCCGGTCCCTACCCAAGTGCCCCGTCCCAGGACTCCGGCTACGAGTACAACGGACCCAGCCAGGTGCCCGAGACCATTCAGCAGAGCTACAGTGCCGACGGTGGCTACACCTATCGCAAGAAGTGAGCAGCTGCCGCATACGCAACGCATCACGCATACGCCACGTGCCTTCGAATACTCAACCACCACATCATATCATCGCCGTCGCCATTGTAAATTATTCCCCAAATGACAAGCAACCAATTCGCCCATTCCTCTTTCTCCTATATGGAAATCTAGCCTTAATTCACTGCACCATTAGATGTAAATCTCGAAACGTTTGTTAAATAAACAACTCCATGAAGATCATAGCAGCTCGTAGAAGCCATCAGTTCTGGGCGATCGGTTCCCTTCACATCCGCGATGCCAGCGATGCCAGCGATTCGCGACATTCGCGGAATTCCAATTGACTAATTGACAGCCGTGGAAGTGGGGATGGTGAAGTCGACCCAATGGCAGTTGAAGGCTCAAGTCGGCTAACAATGAAAAGTTTTGCGAACATAGCAGATATACCGGATATTCGGATAGCTGCCACAGCAACATCCCCTGCAACAAGACATCTCGACCGGGGGCCACAATTAGGGGGAATTCTCGAGCGACACAAGTTATGAGCTTATGATGGAGAAGGGCGATTTCCATCTAATTGCGATTACAACTTAATTGCCACAGCAGATGCAACAGATACAGCTGCAACTGCATCATTAGCATGCTAATTGAAACCAGTTGAGATCGCAGATCTCTATGGTTCGGCTATGGTTCTCTGACTTTGGCAATTTAACCGACTGACTTTCGACTAAATAAAATAAGTAACTGTCGCATAGTTGCCACATTCTCGTCACTGTGAGTCCAAAGATGCATTGTCTGGTGGCTTTGGACTCGGCTGGAACCGATGAGATGCGACACCGACAAGAGCTCTTTGCTCTTTAAGTTGGTCTGAGAAATTTCCATCTGGCATGATAGTACGGTTCCATTGTCTGCGGGTCGTCACTTGGCGGCTTTTGTTGGCTCGTAATACTCGCATTTATTTCACAAGCCAGTCAGTTAGTCGGCAAAATATATAAGTGCTGAGAAATAGAATAAATAAGTAGACGGATTTCGGCTCTGGGGCAACAGAGAAACCATTTTGATGTAGATATATATACCTTTTATTTATTAAATACTTTTTTCGATTTATTCCATTTTGCTATGCTTAAAACATTGATATGTATTCGGTTTACTTTGATCTTAATACATCATGTATATCGTAACCCTTCGTCCTATTCATTTGTATTTATATTTGTATTTGTGTTTTTATTTTAGTTCATTTCTTTTATTTCGGTTAACATAATGCCACTAAGGTAACTTGGAGTGATGGACCAAGTTTGGTTAACAATAACAGAAGTAGGTACGAGTATATTTAACAAATAGCAAAACAGAATCGTTTCGCCTGTTTTAACCAAGCGAAGTCATCGCACTTGAATGCATAAATTATTTGGTGGTTTTGGTTTAGTTGATAGTAACTTTACAAACGATTCGAGTAATTATAATTTGCATATTTACAAACCTGGTCAACAGCACAACGAAACGCGAAACATGGAATACAAACACACTTATGTAGGATTACTTATGTAGGATCTCCGGAAATTTAGTCAAACTCCTTAGTTAAACGGATTCAAACGCTATCGAAATTGACACACTCAGATCTGATGCAAGAGATAATAACAATAACAACGAACAGATATGCTGGTATCATATGGTAGATAATCCTAAATGGACTCAAACTCTTCTTAGTTAGTTTCACTTATGTAAACGTTAAAAAACTACCCCGATACAACAAACATACGAGGCTCAATCAAAAAGCAGTCAACATTTATTACAATTTAATGAGTTGTATGTAGTTGTGGTATTTTCCATAACCAAGTTATAAACTCGTATGCATATTAGCTTACTTGAGTTGAGTTTAGTAATTCAGATTTCAGATTTCAGATTTAGATAAGTTCTTTCCAACGGGTCGAAAGAGTAACAAGTGAACCGAGAGACTTTCGAACGGAGGAGCCAACGCACATCGCTAGGAAAACTATATTCAAATAGGCTTCCCTTTGGAGTAACGTTGAGATCAAAGGTTGGGATTTGAGGTTTGGGGTTCAGGCAGCGTGTGTTTATATATGTAGATCAGAAACTCCCTTGCCAATGGTTCTTTCGCAGGTTTCTGGGTCATGTCGTGGTTGTTTCCTTGGGTATAACTCTCTAAATTCAGTGGCTGGCTCTAGATATGTATATATATGCTTGTGTATATGATTTTGTATAGGTATATATTTAGGTACTACGACGCAACATGTTATATATAGATCGGCTTCCTGTTTATCATCTGCCATGTACCTTGTGGTTTTGCTCTTTGAGAGCAGCTAAAATTCATTCCTATATAACTCGATATGCCTCGTTTTCGCTCACTTACACGACTACTTTTTGGATATAGTGGATGTTTGTATACCCCGATTCTCCTATATAGCTTACTCGAGTGATATGTATACTGATATAGTCCGCCTTGTTTTGATATGTTTCGTTTGCATTGGTTTGTGGTTAGTTTGCTTAGCTTTGTTCGTTCTGGAAGGACACATGATTCACATTATATGCATCTATGTAGTATAAGATCGATATGCTAATGCCAGGAATGCCAATTCATATTGCTCAAATGCTATGCTCACTTATTCCATAGCCTCTTTAACTTTATGGGCTAACTCTTTGGGGTAATACGTATTCCTATGCAATTCTCGGGCGAGGAAAATGCAGTTGATATGTAGTAGGTAGTCGTCAATCGGTTTCTGAACATTTACACATAGATACTCTAACATCAAAATGAATACCGATAGAACGCTTTAAGCTTGTAGAAACTATACACAATAAGTTGGCTAAATGAAAATGTAAACCTTACGATCAGCTTTCTGCACTTTTTACCTGAGCACTTGTGTGTTTAACGTACGTTTCCTAATACTTTCTGTACTCCTTCCCACGATCTGATGACCCCAACTGCCCCCATTTGTGTCCCCCTAACAAGCGCAACATAAAATCGGATAATTCTCTGGTATCAACTGCAGCCTAATTTCGGGCATTCAGCTGCCAAGATGCCATGGGGTTTTCTACTCCGCTCAGAAGGCCGTATTATCCTGCTCGGCAGTGGGCATGGCCATCCCGCTTTGGCTCTGGAGGTGGCCACCTCCTCCGCCCGAAGGCTTGACTCCAGTGGCGTTATCCAGCATCTTCTTGACCTGCGCCTGCGCCGTCTCCTGGTTGATGCGTCGTGCCTCTGCCACCGGCAGGTCGTCGTCCGATTCCAGCGCGGGATTGATGCGGCCATTGCGCTCATCCTTGCCCGCCATTGTGGCCGCTCCGTAGGAGCGGGCCATGGGTCCGGCCATCACGGATAGCTGCTCACCCGACTCCGAGGGATCGCCCACGCGCTGCACATCCTCCGGTATGTTGACCACGCAGCGGAAGTAGTCGTAGCTGGGCGGCAACTTGCCGGACTCGAACATCATTCTGGAATTGATCAAGCGAAGGGTTACATTTAATTGGTCAACTATCTTACAGTAAAATAAATTACATATTTAATAATAATAATCTTAATTCCTACAATTTCCATTGGCTTATACTCACTTAGTCCACCAGGAGACGGAGATGAGGGTGACCAGGCTGAGCAGCATGGCCATGGTGCGGAAGGGGAACATCTGCTCCTTGGTCTCCTCGTCGTAGCCGGGATACTTGATCAACGGAGCCAGTCCCAAGATGGCCTCACCGCCCGACAGTCGGATGACCAGGGCCACAATGTATGCCGACAAGCTGCCGTACGTGTTGCAGTGCTTCTTGAAGTGCACCACCATCAGCAGCTGCGGGAACAGGATGACGTAGACCAGATCCGAGCACATGGACCTGTGGGGAGAAATGTGCGGAGCAGGCACTTAGCAAAATGAGCTGCCAGTTGGGGGGTGAATAATGCATCTTCTCACGCACCACAAGCCGTAGATGGAGGGAATGGTGAGGGCCATGATGGTGGCCAGGATGCCCACCACAATGATGGCGATTCGCATCACCCAAATGATTTCCATCTCGGACGCCTTCTGACGGAAAATCAATTTGTACACGTTCCGGGCGAACATGGAGGCGGCGGAGAGCACCGAAGAATCAGCGGAGGACATCACGGCGGCGGAAACAGCGCCCAATCCAAAGAAGGACACGAAGTCGGGCGTGAGGTACTGCAGCACCATGGGCAGAATCATGCTCGTCTCGTCCACCGTCAGGGGATAGGGTCCCTTGTAATCTGTCTCGTTCCAAGCTGTCAAAGAAAGGAAAACAGACATTAGTTAAAGGTGCAATCGTAAGCTGCCATCTGCGGTTTCTATTTCGGGAATGTATCACTCGTATGTGTCTAGCTAGGACTCACGTGTGGCCTTGGCAATCGCTCCGATGAGCACCGGGGGAATGGCCATCAAAATGCATCCGGCTGCTGCGACATAGGACAGGAGCTGGGCCCTTCCTGCCGTTTTGCTGGACAGCACTCGCTGGAAGTAGACCTGCCAAGGAATGCCCCCAAAGACGAGCAGCAAGCCGTAGTCTATGTATAGCCAATGTTTTTTGGGCTCCACGTGCCCGATCCAGTCCACCTCCAGGTCGCTCAGGCTGCCCACGTGCTCGTTGCTCCAGGCGAAGGGAATGCACATCCATAGACCGATGAAGATGCAGAACAACTGGATCACGTCCGTATACGCCACGGAGTACAGTCCACCGAAGAGTGTGTAGAAGATGGCGATGCAGGAGGACAGGATCACCGAGGTGCGGTGATCCATGTCGATTATCACCGACAGAGTGGCTCCAAGTGCAGCCAGGATGCCGGCTGCCCAGAAGACCTCGCCGCAGAGAGCGGGCAGGAAGAGCAGTCCTCCCATCCGCTCACCGAAGGAATCCTGCAGCGGGTCCAGCATGGTGATGTAGCCCTGCTTGCGCATGGGATTGGCGAAGAAGATGCCACCTGAGTTTGGATGAGGGAGAAGAAATTTCGGATATAAGTATAATTAATTTTTCATTTAAATTCAGCCAAAATAACAAACTATTCTTAATTGCTATCACATCCGTGCAGCGCTTACCAAATACCAAGCTCAGAGCGTATCCAAATGGAGCCTGGCACCACACCAGACCCGATGTGTATATAGCCTCCGCCGTGCCGTTGATGTAGCCGCCACCCACCCAGGTGGCCGTCATGGTGAAGATGCCCACGAAGAGGCCGATGGAGCGCCCGGCCAGCATCACCTCCTCCTCCGAGTCATTGCCGGACTGCT